CCCCCTTCTCCCCCAACATACAAACCAAATAAATAAAAAAAAAACACCAGATTATTCATCAAAGGTTAAAAAAAACATATAAATATGCTTTATTTGAAATTATCAACAAGAAATCACACTGTTTAAAGAAATTTATGTTCGCGTATACACATCTAAAATCCGTCGTGTGCTAACTCCAGCCACAGACATTTGTAACGAACCCTGTGCTCCAGCCAATATGTCTGATAGCGACGTCACGGACGTGTCCCTAGAATATGGAATGACTATGGTTTTGAATCAAGGCACATCATGTTTATGTCGGGCAACCGAAGCGTGTCTGCTATTAGATCATATAACAGGTCCTTTTCAACAGAACAAACTAATCTGTCCTTTACACTAGCGTCCGTTGCAAGTGGCGAAGCAGGTCAAATCGTCCCGGCTCGTCGGCCAGTCCTCTCATCGATAGTAACACATGCCGAATGTTCAACGATGAGCTAGTCCTGTTGACACAGTCGATCGACACAAGAATTCAGCCAACAGCATCTTTTAAATCGTCATTTGGATTCTTAGGAAACTCCACATTTCACGGATGCAATTTCAATTTCCATAACCCATCTCGTTGAAAGTCCAACCGCTTCCTGGCCTGATGAGCGTATAGCCGCTGCACAACTTTTGTTTAGCGGTCAGCAATCTCCGCAAAGACGGAATAAATTTCTGACTTTTTGCAACTAACATATTTTACAGAGTATTTTTGTTTCAAATTAAGATCTACTGTCAATTATTAATATAATCAATGCATTTTAAACATGCTGGTAATAAAATTTAAAAATAAAAATTATGCAAAGTGAAACTATTTGTTTATTGCTCAACTGTGTATTTCGTCACCGTTAAAGGCTGTTCAATTAATGTTGTTTTCATGACGGTGTTTTGCTTTTTTAAGTGAAAAACCCCAACTATTTTTTCTTAATTTCAAATAATGAAAGTGGATGTTATAGAAACATATTCTCCAAGATGCGCTAACGCGCATCATGTAATATGTTTGAACGAAACTGTGTTGCATACCCTTATAAATGTTAAAAAGATGCATTTCAAACTTAGATAAAAGCAATCTTATTTTGTCACGGATTTGGAAAATATTGAAGGCCGTATACTGTTTCCAAATTTTAATTTTATTTTTTGATCGTTTGATATGACTTAAGTGAGTTACATGAAAACTGGTTTGAGCACATAGTCCATGCTTGAGCATGAGAACGGTTTCGCCACGGACTTAGATAACATCTTATTCCGTGGTTTCACGCATACGGGCTCAAGTGTCGCTTGTCCTGTGTTAGAATTTTTGTGGAATTCTAAGGTGAACATATCCTGTCGCTATTAGTCCCGCATTCGACTCCTGCTTGAAGCACTCACTGCCGCTAGTCCAGGGTTCGATTCATAACAGAAGACATTTTGGTACCATAATATTTTCACCAACGTGTAACCGCTTGCACTTAATAGTAAAAGACAATAGCATGACGTCATGATCGGTAAAATAGAGATACCACTTATGACGTCACATACTTGTTGCTAAGCTGCTTAGCAATCGGCGAAGGCGGAGATGATCAGTCTCTCACCTGATATTTACTTCTTTTGTTTAATTCTTCGATTACCACAATGGATATAAAGTTATTCTTGATATTTGTGGTAATGCTGTGCGCCATGCACCAAGGGCCTGCTGTATATCGGGACCTTACGTGGTAAGTTAGGACCAGGCATGGTAAGATTGGATCTTATATGTTTTTCTTTAACTTGAAATTACGCAAAGATCTCGCGGAGCTAAAATGAACGTCAATAACCTTTTCAAGTTTACGATTGTGTTGCCATTGAATATTTAGAAATATTTACTCTTAACTTTATTAATTTTTCTCTCTCTAGTGTGGAGCCCGAGACAGGATATGCAAAAAGATTGTTCTATTATTTCACCGCAAGTGAAATTGAGAAAATCTGTCCAACGGTTACCAAGCTGACATGGGTAAGGATTACATATATTTTAATGTTAATGACTGTCATGAAAACATTAACAGTTTTTACTAATAGTTAAGTAAGCTTATGCTTGTGACGATTTTTAACTGATTCTACTTCTCATCAATTTATTAAATACCTGGTATATTTAACGCGTGTGCATTCCGTTTTGTATGATATTCTTGTGTGTATTTCACAATATTATTAGCCACCAGCTATGCTTTGTTAGCGTCCAGTTGTGACAAAAACGGCTTTCTTCTCCATTGTCCGTATCATGCGGCTCTTGAACATTAGTACTATTCCCTATAAATAATTATGACTTGATTTATTTTAGCGATTTGGAAATGAGGTATTCTATAATCTGCTGTGTGTGCTTCTTACCCTGCTGTTGGGCTATGCGCCGTCGGTCGGAAAAATCGTCAAAGAAAAAATGTCAGCCGCCGTGTCAATGTTCCAAGAATGGAGAGCTCGTAAGTAACAAGCGAAGATTAGAATATTAAATAAAGCAGCAGTCTAATGAACGTATCAGTTTTCTCACTTTCAGTTCTTGTGCACTGTTTACCTTGTAATTAAGAAATTTTCGAAATTAATGTACCTTTTTATGAACCTGAGTGTTGTAAAAACTACCTTAACGCGCCATCTTGTGGATCATTTCAGAATCTTGCATACTTGTGTTCTCAGAGCTATGTTTTGATAAGATATTAAAGTCAATTGTTTGATAACGTACAGTGAAATTGTAATCTTGACATACTTTCATCTCAGAGTAGCTCTTTGGTCATGTTTAATGAACGGGAACCACTTTCTATAAGCCTTGTAATTTGTCAGATTTGTGTGTCAGAAACCAATCAGCTAGTTAACTGTTACGGGTTCCGTTCTGATAAAATCTCAAGATGCATAGAAAGCAATGTTTTGTGTGTTGAAAACTTAAACCTTGGATTTCGGAAATTTGACCTTAAATAAATATTTGTTTGTGCAGGTCCTTCCCTCTGCCGTCACTGCGGTACTGCCCCGTGTCAGGTTAAAAGGAGATCCTTGTTGAAGCCCTCCGTTACTCGTAAGAAAGACAAGGCGAACTTCGCAAAAAGGTCAAACGTCATGATGTTGTTTTACTATGGACTAGAGTTGTCCGTGGTACTGACCAAAGAGATGCCCTGGAATGACCTGTACTTGGAGAGGAAGTTCGTCCAGCATTTTGAGGAGGAGCATATGGTGTTGTTCCCACTGTGCATCCAGCGTCAAATCAACTACTGGTACCCTGTCCCTCGCTAGGTATGTACTCTGTCCCTCAACTTGTACGGTGTCCCTCGCTTGATTGGTGTTATCTCCCTTTCTATGTCCCTTTCTAAATTGGTACTATATCCCTCCCTATGTACTAAGTCTCTTGATAGGTTGGTACTAGGTCCATGCTAAGTATCCTGTCCCTCGCTAGGAACACTGTCACTCACTATGTACTATGTCCCTTGCTAAATAGATACTATATCCCTCTGTAGATACCATGTCTCTCGCTAAGTTGGTACTATACCCCTTTGTAGGTACTATGTCCCTCACTTGATTGGTACTATATCCCTTTGTAGGTACTATGTCCCTCACTTGATTGGTACTATATCCCTCTGTAGGTACTATGTCCCTCACTTGATTGGTACTATATCCCTCTGTTGGTACTATGTCCCTCACTGGGTTGGTACTATATCCCTCTGTAGGTACTATGTCCCTCACTGGATTGGTACTATATCCCTCTGTAGGTACCATGTCCCTCACTGGATTGGTACTATATCCCTCTGTAGGTACTATGTCCCTCACTGGGCTGGTACTATATCCCTCTCTAGATACAATGTCCCTCCCTAGGTTGGTGATATACCCTCTCTAGGTACCCTGACCATCGCTAGGTAGGTTCCTCCGCAAAATAAAAATAAAATGGGATAGATTGTTTTGATTTTGAATAATCAGTTGCATACATGTATTTTCAATTAATTTTCCTTAATGTCAAAACTACAATGCATGACAACATATTCTGCAGTGGAGAACGGACAGATTGTGCATAACGTGAACATGAAATTTTGTTATTTTTTCATTTCATACAGATTCGTTGCGCCGTTCAAAGAGAAGAACGTGGATTGCAGTCGGTGACGGAATAGAAGTTTGAGATTGACGTCAAAAGATCGATTTAATTGGG